CTTCAGACGTGAGGAATTTTTTTGTATCCTTCCCCAGATCTGTGCCTCGACACAATCCTGTATCGGGGCTCTACGGACAATTCCTTCCACCTCATGGCTTGGTTTTTGCTCTGACATGCACTGTCAACTGTGGGACCTTATATAGACAGGTGTGTGCCTTTCCAAATAATGTAAATCAATTGAATTTACCACAGGTGGACTCCAAGTTATAGAAACATCAAGGATGATCAATGGAAACAAGATGCACCTGAGCTCAATTTCGAGTCTCATAGCAAAGGGTCTGAATACTTATGTAAATAAGGTATATGTTTTTATTTGTAATACATTTGCATACATTTCTAAAAAACAGTTTTCGCTATGTCATTATGGGGAATTGTGTGTAGACTGAGGAAAACATTCAATTTAATCAATTTTTGAATAAGGCTGTAATGTAACAAAATGTGGAAAAAGTCAAGGGGTCTGAATACATTCTGAATGCACTGTATACACATTTCTATTCAGAAACCAGTTCTGATCATTTTCATACAAACAGTCTTGTTCTCCTCTAATAAAGACATTTTAAAAAACAAAACAAAGAGCTGATGAACTCCTGTTCATAGAGATCCTATTAAATTACTAGAGGCGCTGTTTCATAAACCCTAAAAGTTCCAGAATGGGGTGAAAATGGCAGACACATTGGTTAGGGAGAAATCCAAACCAGTCTAATTAGAATCAATTTTCTTACGTAGGAAAATAAAAGGCCTGTGCTATATCAGAAATTCTGTAATATAATTGTCAACATAAAATAGTCATATACTGTAATAAATACAGTTTATACAGGTTTTATGCCTTGCATGTGCAAGTCAAGCGCCACCACTGTCAGTAGCGCTGTAAAAAAAACTAAACTAAACAAAAAATGGTCTGCAAACAAGCGCACACACACACAGGCTATGATGTGTTTACAATACTGTGTTGGTTATAATCCATTATTTGTTTGACAGAATAGGAAATGTCTGAGCATTTGAAATCAAATAATTGTATTTGTCAAATGCGCCGAATACAACAGGTGTAGACCTTACCGTGAAATGCTTACTTACAAGCCCTTAACCAACAATGCAGATCAAGAAATAGAGTTCCGAAAATATTTAGTAAATAAAGTAAAGCAAATATATATATATATATAACAATAACGAGGCTATATACAGGGGGTACCGGTACTGAGTCAATGTGCGGGGCTACAGGTTAGTCGAGGTAATTTGTACATGTAGGTAGGGGTAAAGTGACTATGCATAGATAATAAACAGCGAGTAGCAGCAGTGTAAAAACAAAGGGGGGGGGGGGGGGGGGGGGGTTCAATGTAAATAGTACGGGTGGCCATTTGACTAATTGTTCAGCAGTCTTTTGGCTTGGGGGTAGAAGCTGTTAAGGAGCCTTTTGGACCTAGACTAGGCGCTCCGGTACCGGCATGCGGTAGCAGAGAGAACAGTCTATGACTTGGGGGACTGGAGTCTGACAATTATTTGGGCCTTCCTCTGACATCGCCTAGTATATAGGTCCTGGATGGCAGGAATCTTTGCCCCAGTGATGTACTGGGCCGTACGCACTACCCTCTGTATTGCCTTACGATCGAATCCCGAGCAGTTGCCATACCAGGCGGTGATACAACCGGTCAGGATGCTCTCTATGGTGCAGCTGCATAACTTTGAGGATCTGGGGACCCATGCCAAATCTTTTCAGTCTGATATACAGTGGGGAGAACAAGTATTTGATACACTGCCGATTTTGCAGGTTTTCCTACTTACAAAGCATGTAGAGGTCATACATTTGTATCATGGGTACACTTCAACTGTGAGAGACGGAATCTAAAACAAGAATCCAGAAAATCACATTGTATGATTTTTAAGTAATTAATTTGCATTTTATTGCATGACATAAGTATTTGATCACCTACCAACCAGAAAGAATTCCGGCTCTCAAAGACCTGTTAGTTTTTCTTTAAGAAGCCCTCCTGTTCTCCACTCATTACCTGTATTAACTGCACCTGTTTGAACTCGTTACCTGTATAAAAGACACCTGTCCACACACTCAATCAAACAGACTCCAACCTCTCCACAATGGCCAAGACCAGAGAGCTGTGTAAGGACATCAGGGATAAAATTGTAGACCTGCACAAGGCTGGGATGGGCTACAGGACAATAGGCAAGCAGCTTGGTGAGAAGGCAACAACTGTTGGCGCAATTATTAGAAAATGGAAGATGTTCAAGTTGACGGTCAATCACCCTCGGTCTGAGGCTCCATGCAAGATCTCACCTCGTGGGGCATCAATGATCATGAGGAAGGTGAGGGATCAGCCCAGAACTACACGGCAGGACCTGGTCAATGACCTGAAGAGAGCTGGGACCACAGTCTCAAAGAAAACCATTAGTAACACACTACGCAGTCATGGATTAAAATCCTGCAGCGCACGCAAGGTCCCCCTGCTCAAGCCAGCACATGTCCAGGCCCATCTGAAGTTTGCCAATGACCATCTGGATGATCCAGAGGAGGAATGGGAGAAGGTCATGTGGTCTGATGAGACAAGAATAGAGCTTTTTGGTCTAAACTCCACTCGCCGTGTTTGGAGGAAGAAGAAGGATGAGTACAACCCCAAGAACACCATCCCAACCGTGAAGCATGGAGGTGGAAACATCATTCTTTGGGGATGCTTTTCTGCAAAGGGGACAGGACGACTGCACCGTATTGAGGGGAGGATGGATGGGGCCATGTATCGTGAGATCTTGGCCAACAACCTCCTTCCCTCAGTAAGAGCATTGAAGATGGGTCGTGGCTGGGTCTTCCAGCATGACAACGACCCGAAACACACAGCCAGGGCAACTAAGGAGTGGCTCCGTAAGAAGCATCTCAAGGTCCTGGAGTGGCCTAGCCAGTCTCCAGACCTGAACCCAATAGAAAATCTTTGGAAGGAGCTGAAAGTCCGTATTGCCCAGCGACAGCCACGAAACCTGAAGGATCTGGAGAAGGTCTGTATGGAGGAGTGTGCCAAAATCCCTGCTGCAATGTGTGCAAACCTGGTCAAGACCTACAGGAAACGTATGATCTCTGTAATTGCAAACAAAGGTTTCTGTACCAAATATTAAGTTCTGCTTTTCTGATGTATCAAATACTTATGTCATGCAATAAAATGCAAATTAATTATTTAAAAATCATACAATGTGATTTTCTGGATTTGACTAGGATTTCTACATGCTTTGTAAGTAGGAAAACCTGCAAAATCGGCAGTGTATCAAATACTTGTTCTCCCCACTGTAGATGTATTCAGCAACTTTTGGGGTAGCTAGCTGGCTTTAACTTGGTACCTAGCACCAATGCAACCAGACTGAAAACAAGGACCAGAAACTACAATCATTTTCAATATTCTAAGCATTGATTTAGGAATCCATGTGACTAAGTATTAGCTAGACAGCCACTTGTTTTCCTATTGAAATCGAACTTTAGTTCATGAAAACAACTAGTTAGCTAGCTAGATAACGAACTAAACAAGCGAGCCAGCTCCCTAGCCCTGTTGCCCCAAGCTAACGTTATAAGTAAGCATGGCTAGTGGGTCCGACCATCAACCAATACGAAAACGTGCTTATAAATTAGGGATATTTTAGATGACTGCTAGATAGTTACCTAGCTAACTATAGCTACTGAAACAGATGATATAGTTTTGCTATGTTTTTGGGGGAGAACATTGTTTGCATCCAACAGCTAGCTTTTTTCTAACCAGCACTGTCCCAGAGCTTGGAGAAGTGTGTCTGCCTCGTGTGGCAGGTGCGCGACACAACTTTACCAGCATCATCGCATCCGTATTGGTGAATCACTGTGATGTATGAAAAACGAGTGAGTGTAATCAATGTATGCACGTTAAATTATTATGGGACGTGCAGTCATATTCAGGTCCTGATTGGTCAACAAGCTTATTTGACACACGTCAAATAACACTATTTGATGCATCTTTTTTGACACGAAAATACCCAAACGCTGTTCCATAGCTAACAAACATACAGAGCAGATAAATTGTTAAGTCATTATTTACACTATCTTATCAAAGCACTGGCAAACCATAGTTTACCAACTCCCTGACCAGAATGGCTGACCTTCAGACAATCAGAAGGTTCATGTCCATTCTAGTATTCTAATTCTATGCTCCTGTTATTCCATGACAATGTTGTTATAGCAACCATCTGTAAATGTGCGGATTATGTGAGGTGCCATTTTATGTGCCGTCACTGTCGCAATAGGAAAATAAAAAATTAATATAACACCCCTTGATACTCACAGTTGGTTTGCTATTCGCAACTGGTGCACCTAATAGACAAATAAATAAAATACAAATGAATGACAACACACTTTGGACTGGTCATGCTGAAGGACCTATGAAAGGCTACAAATCCAACTCACTTGGTGTGGAAGCCGGCGTTGGAGCTGGTAAACCGAACCTGACAAACATCAGATTTCAGTTAATATTCACTCACACAACCTACATCTTTTCAACATCCATTTTACTATGCTTTTAACAGTCAGACCAATATGACTTGCCCATGGGACAGATTATTGCCACATTTGTCTTCAACATTCTTTTAACGTAACTACCTGACATTGTTAACTGAGTAATGACCAAAAATTGATTGTCAACTACTATATTTCATACATTTGACGAGGTCAAAAGTGTGAAATATTTCTGATGCCTACATGTAAGATGTACAAGACAGATTTTATCCAACATGTACATTTACATTTAAGTCATTTAGCAGACACTCTTATCCAGAGCGACTTACAGGAGCAATTAGGGTTAAGTGCCTTGCTCAAGGGCACAGACAGATTTTTCACCTAGTTGGCTCGGGGATTAGAACCAGTGACCTTTCGGTTACTGGCACAACGCTCTTAACCATTAAGCTACCTGCCGCCCCATATAAGACTAGTTTTATCCAAAATCAACAGATGATCCATTATGTGTAATTCAATCCAGGGGCTCACCTGGCAGCGCGGGCCTCTTTCTTACTATTAGCAGTGGCAGGCAGGTTGAAACGCTCTGCCCTTTTCTGCAGCCTCTGATGGACACAAATACAAGTTGAAGATTCATACAAGTACACTTCATCAATGTAGTGCCAATAGGGCAGTTACACATTCATCCTGTCAAGGTTTCCAACACAGTGTAGATTACTAGAGCTGATGAGAATAACATTGTGGGAAACAATGATTTTAAATCTATTGATACGCAGTTATTCTGTGCATTATGCTACTACATACCTCATCCGCAGCCGCTGGGGCAGTGATTTTCACAACTTTCTTCTCAGCATCCCTAAAGCAAGAAAACATTTGAATTTAATTAAACCATTAGGGCAGTGAATACAGTATACATTTACATTACATTTTAGTCATTTAGCAGACGCTCTTATCCAGAGCGACTTACAGTTAGAATCCAGTGGAAAACTTCGTAAACCTAGCCTGCCCTCTACTGCTCAAAAATAAACCACTGGACAGCCAGTAGCTACAGTACGTTTCCATTAACTTCTCCAGTGATTTTGTGTCGACACTTAGAAAGTTTGCATTGAAAATAAACGTGACAATTGGCTGATCGGGTGCGTTACCATTTAACTAACTTGTTAAAAAAAACAGCTGGACATAATGATGTCACACACAAACAATTAAAGCGTTGAATAAAAATGTAGTGGTTGAACTGTTTCCATTACCCATTTAGGCTAATTGCGCATTAATACATTGGCGAGAGCCTGTATGTCCTCCCACCTATCTGTTTCATGTCTCAGGTAGCCCGCGAAAGCCAGGGTGGATAGAATGCAATAACTGACTAATATTTGCCATATTCTAATAATTCTCATGTGCCAACCAATAGTTTATATACACTACATGACCAAAAGTATGTTGACACCTGCTCATCGAACATCTCATTCCAAAATCATGGGCATTAATATGTAGTTGGTCCCCCCCCCCCCCCCTTGCGGCTATAACAGCCTCTACTCTTATGGGAAGGCTTTCCACTAGATGTTGGAACATTGCTGCGGGGACTTGCTTCCATTTAGCCACGAGCATTCATGAGGTCGGGCACTGATGTTGGGCGATTAGGCCTGGCTCGCAGTCTGTGTTCCAATTCATCCCAAAGGTGTGCAGGCCAGTCAAGTTCTTCCACACCGATCTCGACAATCCACTTCTGTATGGACCTCGCTTTGTGCACAGGGGCATTGTCATGCTGAACCAGGAAAGGAAAGGGCCTTCCCCAAACTGTTGCCACAAAGTTGGAAGCACAGAATCGTCTATAATGTAATTGTATGCTGTAGCATTAAGATTTCCCTTCACTGGAACTAAGGGGCCTAGCCCGAACCATGAAACAGCCCAAGACCATTATTCCTCTTCCACCAAACTTTACAGTTGGCAAAATGCATTGGGGAAGGTAGCGTTCTCCTGGCATCCACCAAACCCAGATTCGCCCGTTGGACTGCCAGAGGGTGAAACTGTGTTTCATCACTCCAGAGAACGCATTTCAACTGTTCCGGAGTCCAATGGCGGTGAGCTTTACACCACTCCAGCCGACGCTTGGCTTTGCGCATGGTGATCTTAGGCTTGTGTGCGGCTGCTCGGCCATGGAAACCCATTTCATGAAGCTCCCGACTAACAGTTATTGTGCTGACGTTGCTTCCAGAGGCAGTTTGGAACTCGGTAGTGAGTGTTGCAACCGAGGACTGATTACTTTCACGTGCTTCAGTGGTCCCATTCTGTGAACTTGTGTTGTCTACCACTTGGCGGCTGAGCCATTGTTGCTCCTAGACGTTTCCACTTCACAATAACAGCACTTACAGTTGACTGTGGCAGCTCTTACAGGGCAGATATTTGATAAACTGACTTGCTGGAAAGGTGGCATCCTATGACGGTGCCACGTTGAAAGTCACTGAGCTCTTCAGTAAGGCCATTCATTCTACTGCCAATGTTTGTCTATGGAGATTACATGGCTGTGTGCTCGATTTTATACACCTGTCAGCAATGGGTATGGCTGAAATAGAGGAATCCACTCATTTGAAGGGGTGTCCATATACTTTTGTATATATTGTTGTGTACATCATTGGTGCCAACTTATCGCCACGGACCGTGCCATAGTGAAACTATCTCCTGTAGGCTATATCTGAAATACATGGATGGTACTTTTTTTTTTTTTTTGCAAGCAGTAAGCAATTAGAATTCAATGTGGAGTGGAGCTTAATAGTTAGATGATGACATCACGTGCCCCACGTACCTTCGCAATTATTATTTATTTCGAAAAACAGTATGCATCTTCATTTGTCTCAAACGTTTGACAAAATAAAATTCCACCCCTGTAGAACAGATCAAACTGTATGATCTTTAGAAAATGTCTTCTATATCTGCCGTTTCCATTACACCTCGCAATGATTTGAGACATTGCTTTTGTCAAATAAACCTGGATCACTGGAAACCTGCCAATTTAAATAATCCCCCAAAGACGTCTTGTACATATCACAACAAAAATTGATCAGGAATGGCATTCATAGACAACAAAAGGAACATGCTGACATCAAGCTTTATCTTAACACTGAATTAAGAAAATATGAAGTACCGGTAATGTTGAAAATCTGCAGAATTTACCATGAGAATTCAATCACATACAGTGAGGGAAAAAAGTATTTGATCCCCTGCTGATTTTGTACGTTTGCCCATTGACAAAGAAATGATCAGTCTATAATTTTAATGGTAGGTTTATTTGAACAGTGAGAGACAGAATAACAACAACAAAATCCAGAAAAACACATGTCAAAAATGTTAGAAATTGATTTGCATTTTAATGAGGGAAATAAGTATTTGACACACTCTCAATCAAAAAGATTTGTCTCCCAGGTGTCTTTTATACAGGTAACAAGATGAGCTTAGGAGCACACTCTTAAAGGGAGTGCTCCTAATCTCAGCTTGTTACCTGTATAAAAGACACTGTCCACAGAAGCAATCAATCAATCAGATTCCAAACTCTCCACCATGGCCAAGACCAAAGAGCTCTCCAAGGATGTCAGGGACAAGATTGTAGACCTACACAAGGCTGGAATGGGCTACAAGACCATCGCCAAGCAGCTTGGTGAGAAGGTGACAACAGTTGGTGCGATTATTCGCAAATGGAAGAAACACAAAAGAACTGTCAATCTCCCTCGGCCTGGGGCTCCATGCAAGATCTCACCTCGTGGAGTTGCAATGATCATGAGAACGGTGAGGAATCAGCCCAGAACTACACGGGAGGATCTTGTCAATGATCTCAAGGCAGCTGGGACCATAGTCACCAAGAAAACAATTGGTAACACACTACGCCATGAAGGACTGAAATCCTGCAACGCCCGCATGGTACCCCTGCTCAAGAAAGCACATATACATGCCCGTCTGAAGTTTGCCAATGAACATCTGAATGATTCAGAGGAGAACTGGGTGAAAGTGTTGTGGTCAGATGAGACCAAAATGGAGCTCTTTGGCATCAACTACACTCGCCGTGTTTGGAGGAGGAGGAATGCTGCCCCACCGTCAAGAACACCATCCCCACCGTCAAACATGGAGGTGGAAACATTATGCTTTGGGGGTGTTTTTCTGCTAAGGGGACAGGACAACTTCACCGCATCAAAGGGACGATGGACGGGGCCATGTACCGTCAAATCTTGGGTGAGAACCTCCTTCCCTCAGCCAGGGCATTGAAAATGGGCCGTAGATGGGTATTCCAGCATGACAATGACCCGAAACACACGGCCAAGGCAACAAAGGAGTGGCTCAAGAATAAGCACATCAAGGTCCTGGAGTGGCCTAGCCAGTCTCCAGACCTTAATCCCATAGAAAATCTGTGGAGGGAGCTGAAGGTTCGAGTTGCCAAACGTCAGCCTCGAAACCTTAATGACTTGGAGAAGATCTGCAAAGAGGAGTGGGACAAAATCCCTCCTGAGATGTGTGCAAACCTGGTGGCCAACTACAAGAAACATCTGACCTCTGTGATTGCCAACAAGGGTTTTGCCACCAAGTACTAAGTCATGTTTTGCAGAGGGCTCAAATACTTTTTTCCCTCATTAAAATGCAAATCAATTTATAACATTTTTGACATGCATTTTTCTGGATTTTTTTGTTATTCTGTCGTCTCTCACTGTTCAAATAAACCTACCATTAAAATTATAGACTGATCATTTCTTTGTCAGTGGGCAAACATACAAAATCAGCAGGGGATCAAATACTTTTTTCCCCTCACTGTAACCATTAGGACATAAAACATCCTATAGATAGGTGTGAGTGAAAAAGAGTACTGACTTTTCAGGTACAGCTGCCTCTTCTACGGCCTCTTCTGCAGGTGTTTCATTGATTTCCTCCTCTTTAGGATCGTCCTGTAAATACACACCAAGCACGTAATCTCCACAAATCCTCCTCAAATTGAAAATATTCTGAAATATTGTAATAGTAAAATATTCCTACCTCCAACTCTCCCAATACCTCCTCTTCATTCACCTCATCTTCTGGAACATAACATGCTAAATATATATTTTCCTCACATTGTCAAGCCAAGTTGGCTGTAAAAACAATCATGTTTATCTGAGCATTGTACAGAAAATAATGCATACTTCACCTGTCAGAGTGAATAATGCTACATACAGTGCATTCGGAAAGTATTCAGACCCCTAGACTTTTTCCACATTTTGTTACGTTACAGCCTTATTCTAAAATTGATTAAATAGTGTTTTCCCCCCTCATCAATCTACACACAATACCTCATACTGACAAAGCAAAAACAAGTTTTAATAAATTTTAGCAAATTTGAAAACTGAAATAACATTTACATAAGTATTCAGACCCTTTACTCTGAACTTTGTTGAAGAACCTTTGGCAGCGATTACATGTTGTGTATAGATCTGCAATCTATACACAACACCCCATAATGACAAAACAAAAACAGGGTTTTAGACATTTTTGCAAATAAAAAATAACACCTTATTTACATAAGTATTCAGACCCTTTGCTATGAGACTCGAAATTGAGCTCAGGTGCATCCTGTTTCCATTGATCATCCTTAAGACGTTTCTACAACTTGATTGGACATGATTTGGAAGGCACACACCTGTCTATATAAGGTCCCACAGAATTTGAATACTAGAATGGACATTAACCTTCTTGTGACTGTCTGAAGGTCAGCCATTTTGGTCAGCAAAAACCATGCCATGAGGTCGAAGGAATTGTCCATAGAGCTCCGAGACAGGATTGTATCGAGGCACAGATCTGGGGAAGGGTACCAAAAAATGTCTGCAGCATTGAAGGTCCCCAAGAACACAGTGGCCTCCATCATTCTTAAATGGAAGAAGTTTGTAACCACCAAGACTCTTCCTAGAGCTGGCCGCCCAGCCAAACTGAGCAATCGGGGAAGAAGGGCCTTGGTCAGGGAGGTGACCAAGGACCCGTTGGTCACTCTGACAGAGTTCCAGAGTTCCTCTGTGGAGATGGAAGAACCTTCCACAAGGACAACCATCTCTGCAGCACTCCACCAATCAGGACTTTATGGTAGAGTGGCCAGACGGAAGCCACTCCTCAGTAAAAGGCACATGACAGCCTGCTTGGGGTTTGCCAAAAGGAACCTAAAGGACTCTCAGAACATGAGAAACAAGATTCTCTGGTCTGGTGAAACCAAGATTGAACTCTTTGTTCTGAATGCCAAGCGTCACGTCTGAAGGAAACCTGGCACCATCCCTACGGTGAAGCATGGTGGTTGCAGCATCATGCTGTGGGGATGTTTTTCAGCGGCAGGGACTGGGAGACTAGCCAGGATCGAGGGAAAGATTCACGGAGCAAAGTACAGAGATCCTTGATGAAAACCTGCTCCAGACCGCTCAGGACCTCAGACTGGGGCAAAGGTTCACCTTCCAACAGGACAACGACCCTAAGCACACAGCCAAGACAACAGAGGAGTGGCTTCAGGACAAGCTTGGCACACAAATACAGGTGTGCCAAGCTTGTAGCGTCATACCCAAGAAGACTCGAGGCTAATCGCTGCCAAAGGTGCTTCAATAAAGTACTGAGTAAAGGGTCTGAATACTTAGGTAAATGTAATATTAGTGTTTTTTTTAACAAAATGTGGAATGGGGTCTGAATACTTTCCGAATGGACATCTATCAAACCAAGGTTCAGTTATTGGAGAAATCAAGACATTTCATAACAACATCCAAATAAGAATAAGTATTATATTGCAGTAGTTTTTTTTAAGGTGAGTTCAGAAACAAAACAATAGAATAAGTAGAGCTGAGGGAAAGTGTTTGTTATTGAGCAAAAACAAGAAACCACAGATAGACATACCGACACCTAAACATGATAATCCATGCTGCTAATAGTGTAACAGATGGAACTGAAGTGAACTCCCATCTCAACATTCACAGGGCAGGGGAACATTCTGCATTCGTACAAGGCAAAAAATCATACACATTTACATTTCACAATCAGTGCTATTAAGAAATTAGTAGGTGTTAGTGCAAGAAAGACAAGTCCGCCATACCATGCTCCTCAAGGTATGCCTGCAACCTTCCAATAAGGTCACCTTTGTTTCCTTTCACATCCAATCCCCTCACAGAACACTCCTGCTTGAGCTCAGCCAACTGAAGGTGAAGGTAGGGTCAACAAATGTAATAGACTTTGTTAGTGGAGAGAGTATGCATACAATACAGTAGTAAATTAACATTGATTAACTTTATATATTTTTTTAAAAGGTCAACTACAACCAACGAACCAAATCAGTCCTATAATAAAGGCACATGGCTACCACATGAGTAAACATTACTGGCACACAACTCAATGCAGCAATTTGACAACAGACCAAGCTTGGACTAAAGTACGGATAGTGACATGTACAATAACTTGCCTTATATTGTGTTACAGGGGCAGTTTTGCCAATAATGTAGCCTAACAGCTAGCTATTCAACCAATAATAACGAGCTTAGTAAAAGCAAGCTAGCTAACGTTAGCTATCGAGTAAACTTGACTTGTACACTAGCTAGCGTTACCAGAAAATTAATAATTTGAAGGTAAAATGTATTTAGCTAGCTAAGTTAATTCGTACAGCTAGCTAGTAAACTGACAACATTCTGTGTTTTACATTAACGTTAGCCTACTACTATGTGCTTGTTAGACGGTCATGTCTAGATGGGCTACTGCTTTTTTTTCTAAATTTGACGTCAAAAGTTGATTTTTTTTGTTGGCTAACCCTCACGCTTTTCCTAGCCTTAACCTAATTATCATAGCCCTTCTACGAAAAGTCAATTTTGACAAAAGATATATCCAGTTAACTACTGTAACGTTAGCTAGTTAGCACACCATCCGATAACTTTTAGCTAACGTTAGCTTCCATTTCCAGGCATATCACACCGCACTACATTACCTAGTGTTGTAAACCGTAAAATACGCATATTTTCGATCAATTATACATTTTACATAAAACTTGATTATAAAGAAGTCCGTATATATTTAATTGTATTCATTTTTAAACTGTTTTCTCACCTTCAATTTATGGATTTCAACGTCGGCCATCTTGTTTGTATCGAAGAGCGGAAAAAAATATCCAATGCGGTATTGCGTTTTACTGAAAGGCGTAATAAAACGACCGATGATTGGTTGTACGCAACTTGTCTACTCTCTTGTGAAATGGTATAAATGTTGAAAAAGTTTGGTAGTGCTGCCATCTGCCGACACTTTACTAGAAGATTGCTGGCAACAATTTAATAACGTTTTTTTTGCCGACGTTTACTGACACGGGTCATATTCAACGGGTGTTGCGCCTTCGTAAATTCATTGGTTATTCTGCGCTCTGGCACACTCAGACAAGAGTGCTCTGAAATCGTGGTAGATAGCAGAGTGAATTTAAGAACGCACCCTAGGAAAGCTGTGAGAGCTATTATATGATATAATATCAGTACTTGTTGCATTGCCAACTTGTCTAAGTCCTATCATAAACTGACTTGAGCCAGTGTATGGCTGTGGATTGACTGCATTGTTTGAATGGAATGTTGGCATATTGGCAGTTAATTACAAACATTTATGGAATAATTTCTCTAAAACTGTCTGGCTAGCTAGCTAACACACATACAGTCATGGTCAAAAGTTTTGAAAATGACACAAATAATAATTTTCAAAGTCTGCTGCCTCAGTTTTGATGATGGCAATTTGCATATACTCCAGAATGTAATGAAGAGTGATCAGATGAATTGCAAAGTAGTCTTTGCCATGAAAATGAACTTAATCCCCAAAAAACATTTCCACTGCATTTCAGCCTGCCACAAAAGGACCAGCTGCCATCATGTCAGTGATTCTCTCGTTAAAACAGGTGAGAGTGTTGACGAGGACAAGGCTGGAGATCACTCTGTCATGCTGATTGAGTTAGAATAACAGACTGGAAGCTTTAAAAGGAGGGTGGTGCTTGAAATCAAAGAGCTTGCCAAAAGTTGCCACAGGCTCAAGGAGGCACAGGATTGTGAATGTTAACCCACGTATAGTACCTGTAAATATTCAGGAGTTACAAAATTATATGAATTGAAAAGGCAATAGAAGAATTGGAACAAGTTTCTTTATGTATAATCATTAAACATTTATAAAATTGGCATAACAAGTCTGATAAAATCTAAACACACACAACCCCTCCCCCCATCCCAAACCATGTTAACCCCTTCAATACAAATTGAATGCTGAAACAATTGTGGAGTTTTCCAATCCATTCTCCATTACATAACAAGCACTCATAGCTGTAGAGAAAAAAAACTCACAGGACATCTAATTTATAAAATGCTGCTTTTGGCTGCCGGAATGATTTTTGGAACGGCACCCATATTTCCCTGTGATCTCTCCCATCTCCTGGACTGTACTATTCAGGTGTGGATAAGAGCTGGGGCAGTCCTTATGCTCAGAGGTATCTCATGGAAAGACCCTGGGCTATGTATTGTCCCTGTCAGTCTGCATGTCTCACAGTCGTAGGTGTGGCATTGGCATGGTGACATCGCGGAAGAACCGATGGACGAGGGCATTTTTAGCAGATATCCTCTTGTTTGGGTCATAGGTCAGCATTTGCTGGAAGAATAATAAATACGTCATAAGAAGGGACATAATCTATTAAAAATGTTTAATCGGCCAGTGACAGCAAAGTGTGAAGCTCTGATCAGTAATTTCAATTCATTATATTTTATTAACCTTATTGGTACCAGCCCAATCCGAAAACATAATTAAAGTGGTCAATGTGGTTAGAGTTCTCACCCCGAGCAGCTCTCTCCCGTCCTCATCCAGAGGGGGCACCACTTTGGACAGCTCCTGCCGGGCCCACTTTGGGAAGGAGGGCTTGTAGTCGGGCATGGAGGTGACCCCTGGCCAGGCCGCCTCATCTGGAGTACCCAGGGTACGGAAGATTCGGAACAGCTGATCGATCTCGGAGTCACCTGGAAACAAGGCCCTCCTAGTGATCTGAAGAACGAATTGGAAGGTTTGGAGTGAGACCTTGCTTCATTAACGTTAAAGCTGCAAAATATTATAGCCAGATAATAGATTTACCATTTCAGCAAAGATGCACCCCAAACTCCAGATGTCAACAGCTGTAGAGTAGTATTTGCAGCCCAAGAGAATTTCTGGAGCTCGGTACCATAGAGTTACCACCTGAGAAATGTTAATACATGTTAGTTTCCCTATCATGGGCTCAGAAATCATTTGAGATGCTTACAGGAGCATAACAAGTGAAACACTAAAACACTCATATTGCTAGCCATTGACCAACTAAAAACCACACAGCAAAATACTGTGTGGTATGTATTCTGTATGGTGAGTGTATGCCTCACCTCATGAGTGTAGGTGCGGACAGGCACCCCGAAGGCCCTAGCCAGGCCGAAGTCAGCCAGCTTGATCTCCCCCTGGGCGTTGATGAGCAGGTTCTGGGGCTTCAGGTCCCGATGGAGAACCCTGTGGGAGTGACAGAAGGCCAGGCCCTGTAGCAGCTGGAACAGGTAACTCTGCAAACACACACACCATAATTAGATTCATAGGGAGACAGACAGTCACACAACCTGGTAGGTTTCCATATTGTTCTCATTTCAGGTGACAAAATGTATGTAGCATTGGCATACAAATCCAGACAACAGTTGTGCTGTGACCTGGTAATAAACAAAACCACAACATTACACATACAGAAACATTGTGTTAGTTGGTAAATATTCAAACAATTGCCATACATGTACTTTTCACTTGGGTCTTTCACCTTGATAGCATTGCAAAGTAGTTAGATGATATGCCCACCTGACAAAAGACCCAAGTGGGATCGAAACATTGTTTTGATGCATGTCTCAAATCACAGTGGGAGCACTGTGGTCCTGTATGGCTCAGTTGTTAAGAGCATGGCACTTGCAACTTCAGGGTTGTGCATTCAATTCCTGGGGCCACCCATACGTAAAATATATGCATGCATGACTAAGTTGCTTTGGATAAAAGTGTCTACTAAATGGCATCACTCGTTCCTTTATAGACCTATTGTTTTTTTTGTTCAGTCAAAACAAGTTGGGTGTGCAGTGCAGTATGTGCGTACCTTGACAAGTGGCAGAGCGATACCAGAGACAGAGGAGGAGTCCATGAACTTCTTGAGGTCCTGATGAAGGAATTCAAAAACCAGGTACAGTTTGTTCTCTGTGTGGATGACATCACGGAGCCTGTCGGTGTTAAAATACATAGAGATGTCAATGTAAGCACAATTTAACAGAAAGCTGGTGTTTAACATAACATGTAGCTCAATGGTACATACTCGACAATATTTGGGTGGCTGAGCTCTTTGAGGAGGGATATCTCTCGGATGGCAGTGCTTGGTACTCCCTCTGTTTCCCTAAGAAGAAGGCATAATATCACACAATATCATCCCTTTCTTCACAAAGACAGCAAAATCAATTTCAACATTGCATGGGGCCCATCCACTATCGTTTAATGTGTATAACATGGTGCACAGTTAATAATACCTCCCATTCTACATGCGAGTTCTACTTCTAAATAGCTGGATCTTCTTATGAGAAGATAACGTTACAGTCCGTGTGACCAATGCCATAAAATAGCAGTAGCTGTCAAGACAGTGACTTGTTTGTCATACAAAGCTTTATAGCTAGCTAAGCTATCCAGCTAGTTAGCTAGCATAACACGTCCTACTTTCAAGACTTACTGGTTATCAATTCAGGTCAAGTAACTAACAGTTAGCTAGCTAACTAGGTAGCGACATAACTTACTAGGTAGCGACATAGCTAACTAGGTAGCGACATAGCTAACTACTGTATGTTAGCTAACTAGTAAGCAACTGAGGAGCCAGCTACTTGCCAGGGTGACAATTAGCTGGCTAACGATAGCCAGCTAACCTAGCTGTCAGTCAGACACCACTTACGTGTCTAGTCTGATTTTCTTGAGGGCAACAGTCTCTCCAGTGACTCTGTTCTTTGCCTTGTACACCACTCCGTACGTCCCTTCTCCAATCTTTTCCACTTTCTGAAACGATTCCATGACACACAAGTTCTGTTCGGGTTAGCTAGCTAGAAAGCTAGCATCTAATACAAACCGCTGTATTTTTTAAAACAAAGAAAAACGTTAGCTAGCTAGCTAACAGCAGTAGCTGCCTCAACTTCAAGCTAACGTTAGTATGCGAACTAACTAAACTTTTGTGAATAAATCTGCAACTTTGTAACGTTGCCTCCAACTTGTCTCGCCAGGAACAACTTGGAGCGGGAACACATCAGGATTATCCCACAATAAATAAAAGGAGTCAGTTGAGCGGGTTGTAACACTTTCGACTCGAAACAAAAGTAACAGAACCCGCCAGTTCCCGCGTTGTCTATGCCACGCCTCCGACGAACTAGAGAACCGCCTCATTTTCAATATACGACCAATCACTGACAGCCCAATGATACAAAAAATCACGACTGACACGCCCATTCAGCACAGAAACGAACGGTGAATGGGGTGGAACATTGGACCAAAGACATTACAGTATGAAGACTGGCAGAAACTGCTTCTCCAATAGAAACCCCCGACCCCCGACTTGTAGGAGACGAGGTCATGGTGACGTTAGCTAGCTAAACTCATGCGCAGAAACACGCAATCGGGTCTAACGGTCGTCTCGCGCCAAACTGCGCATGTGCAGGCCGTCAAATCAATGGCACTCCTTCGATATAAAGTTGTTTTTGACGAAAATTAAAAACGTGTCAATTTGTCACTTTCACGAGGTTGGAGTAATAACATGTTCAACTACTGAAGACATTGGCTTGAATCTAGGTTGTGCCTTTAGATTTCGAGAAAAGTAACAATTTAGGAACTAAGGAATAATTTTTCACGTCTCTCATTGACTTCTCAAACGCCGGCCTGGTCTGTTTCTTAAGCTTTCCCGGAAGTCTTACGATGTTGCAACTCTGGGTTTAGAAACTCTGTGATTGGACCCTCTTTTTCAGTCAGAATCAGCTGCGATTATGCCATAGAGATCCTATTAAATTACTAGAGGGGATATGTCACGATCCCTCAAAGTTCCAGAATGGGTCGAAAATGGCAGCTATCTTCGTCAGGGAGAAGTCCAAAACCAGTCTAATTGGAATGAATGTCAGTAGAGGCATAGGTGATGCATTTCCTGCTTTTACTTATGCAGGAAAATACAAGTAAGGCATGTGATGTATCAGATATTGTGTAATAGAATTATAGTAAACCTAAAACATAGTAATATAATTATAAATACCGTTTATACGGGTTTTATACACATTTTCTGTAGAAATAGCCTCTAAAATATATGTAAACAGACCATTAATGTCTCATGTTTTATTTTCTTGGGGTGTATTCGTAAATTCACTCTGGACTGCCAGAGTGCGCGCAGAGTGCGCTTGTAAATTCAGAGCGTTGTCAGATTGTCTTTAAGAGTGTGTTCGTAAATTCAAACTGGAGTGTCAGAGTGCCCTCTGGGCGTTCGTAAATTCAGAGCATTGTCAGATTGTCCGTTTGTAAATTCAGAGCGTTTCGCTCTCTGAGTGTTCAGAGCGCACGCTGGACGCACTGGCCAAGGAGTTGGGTTGATCCGAGTGTTCTGACCTCACAACAGCATACAAGCACCCAAGCTAATTGGCTACAGTTGGCTAGCTTGCTAGCTACTTCCAGAAACAAATTAGAGAACACCTCACTCTGACCATTTTACTCGCCCTAGCAGATGTGGTTAGGCTGTTTTCATGTTATCTAGAGGGTTGGTGACTGTAACTGTGCTGCTGGCAACAATTTAATAACGTTTTTTTTTGCCGACGTTTACTGATACGGGTCATATTCAACGGGTGTTGCGCCTTCGTAAATTCATTGGTTATTCTGCGCTCTGGCACACTCAGACAAGAGTGCTCTGAAATCGTAGTAGATAGCCCTCCGGAAGTCCATAATGCCGGAAGACCTGTTGGAACAGGACCTCAGCCACCTGGAGAGCAGAAGGAAGACCAGTTAATGGCAAAAAACTGCATGATTTGGAGAACCGATCTACGACCACCATGACTGTGGTGACACCGTCAGAACGTGGAAGGTCGGTGACAAAGTCTATGGACAGGTGTGACCAAGGTTGCTGAGGCACTGGGAGAGGAACTAGTTTGCCTGCTGGGGCGTTCCAAGGTGTCTTCGTTTGGGCACATACGGAACAGGAGTTGACATGGCGGGAGACATCAGAAGCCAAGGTGGGTCACCAGTATTTTGGGGCTAGAGAATGCAGGGTGCGCGTACTACCAGAGTGCCCTGCCGTAAGGGTGGTGTGCGCCCAGATCAGCAGGCTGTCACGGACACTGGTGGGTACATACACGTGCCCCAGAGGGGCGTTGGCAGGCGCTGGGTCCTCCTGAGCCGCCAGGCGTATGTCTTCGTCCACATCCCAAATGACAGGTGCAACGATGAGAGACGAGGGCAGGATCCCCCAGATCCTTCCTTTTTTCCAGTATGATGCATCCTGGAGAGTGCGTTGGCTTTCACATTCTGGGATCCTGGGCGGTAGGACAGAATGAATTGAAAGCTAGTAAGAAATTGGGCCCACCTGGCTTGAGTTCGCTGCCCGTCTGTGCTCCAAATTCCGGTGGTCAGTAAGAATCCGGAATGGATGGACTGCGCCCTCCAGCCAGTGTCTCCATTCCTCCAGAGTGAGGACCACCGCCAACAGCTCCCTGTCTCCAACTCCATAGTTCCTCTCTGCGGGGGTAAGCTTTTTTTGAGAAAAAGGCACAGGGATACATTTTCTCTGGCTTGCCGTGCCGCTGGGAGTGGACCGCACCCACACCCTCCTCCGATGCGTCAACCTCCAGGATGAAAGGACGAGATGGATCTGGGTGTTTTAGGATGGGCGCTGTGGTGAACCTCTCCTTCAGCCTCTTGAAGGCAGCGTCAGCCTCAGGGTTCCAGGCCAGCTTCTGAGGCCCACCCTTTAGGAGAGAGGTGAGCGGGGCAGCTATGGAGCTGAAGTAGCTGATGAAACGGCAGTAGAAATTGGCGAAGCCCAGGAAGCTCTGTAGGCTCTTAATGGTGTTGGGGACTGGCCATGACCTGACTGCATCCGTCTTCACTCCTTCCATGAACACCCCTTGAGGACTGATCCTGTATCCCAGGAAGGAGATGGCCTGTTGGTGGAATTCGCATGTCTCTCCCTTCACCAACAGGCTGTGTTCCCGGAGGCGGGGTAGGACAGCTTGGACGTCCCTGACGTGCTTGAGTTGATCAGGATATCATCGATGTACACCACCATCTGTCTACTCAGCATGTCCCGGAACACGTCATTGACGAAGGACTGGAACACAGAAGGTGCATTGGCGAGGCCGTAGGGCATGACGCAGTATTCATAGTGGCCTGAGGTAGTGCTGAATGCCGTCTTCCACTCGTCTCCTTCCCGGTTTCGGATCAGGTTGTAGGCACTCCTCAGGTCCAACTTGGTAAAGTAGCGGGCCCCTCGTAGCTGCTAGATGGCCGACGGAACCAGAGGGAGGGGATACCGGTACTTGGTGGTGACTGCGTTCAGCCCCCTGTAGTCAATGCATGGTCTCAGTCCTCCGTCTTTTTTGGCCACGGAGAAGAAGCTGGCAGAGGCAGGAGAGGTAGAGCGTCTGATGAACCCCTGTTTCAGGGTCTCCGCCACATACTTCTCCATGGCCTCAGTCTCCGCCATGGGAAGGGGGTAAATGCAACTCTTCGGGGGGTGTTGTCCCTCCAGCAGGTCAATGGTGCAGTCCCAGGGCCTGTGAGGAGGGAGACATGTAGCCTTTGATGAAGAGAAAACATCGGAGAGATCTGTGTACTCATGTGGAATGTTGGGCTGGAGGGCGGACTCCGGACTCTCCACTGACGTGGAACGACAAACCACCGGCAGGCAGGTCTTCCAGCATGAGGTGGACCAGGCTGTGATCCTCTTGGTAATCCAATTGATGGTGGGGTTGTGTAGTCTGAGCCAGGGCAATCCCAAGACGATTCGGTGAAGGGGTGACGTGACGATGTGGAATGACAGCTCCTCGTGGTGCTCCGGTAGTGTGGGAATGGTGATTGGGAGAGTGACGTGCGTAATGGTGCCTGATCCAAGGGGTTTATTGTCTAGTGAGGTGACGTGTAGCGGAGATGGCAGTGGCACGGTGGGCAACCCCCATTCAGAGACCAGCTCCCTATCTATAAGGTTCCCCGCTGATCCGGAATTTATCATTGCAGTAGAAATGGAAGAGAAGGAATAACCAGTCACCGTTATGGGAACTAAAAACAATGGTTTTGTGATAGGAGATGATGTAACACTCACGGAGTGAGATAGGATAGGGAGCCGCCAGGAGATCTGTGGTCCGAGGTGGTGTAGGGGGTGCTGCCCACTTCCATGGTTGAGGACTCGGAAGCAGGGCGGCTTCCATAGCTCAGATGGGGTGAGCGTGGAGGCTCCGGGAGGTGTTGGGAACGCCGTCTCTCTCTCAACATGTCGTCATGGACATGGTGACGAGGTTTATCAAGGTCCATCTCATTGTCCCGACATGCGAGTTCCGTGTTAATGTCCTCCCGTAAGCCTCTCCTGAAGGCCGTGCGCAGAGCACGCTCATTCCAGCCGGAAGACGCTGCCACCGTGCGAAAGCTCAGAGCGTACTCGGACGTGGGCCCCTCTCTCTGTTGTAGATGGAGGAGACGCTCACCCCCGTCCTTTTCCTCCGTGGGATGATCAAACACCGCCCTGAACCAAGCGAGGAAGGTGGGGTAAAGAAGCCCCACTGCCTCCTCTCCTTCCCAGACTGCCGTGGCCCAATCTGGCGCCTTTCCTTTAAAGTAGCGAAATTACCAGCGATATCCTGGCTTGGTCAGATGGATATGCCCCAGGCTGACGCGCCAGATAAAGTGAAACCTGTAGCAGGAAGCCGTCACAGCGCTCCGGTAGGGCGAGGGTTCCCGCAGAAGTGGGTGATAGCACGGTAACAGGTGGATTGGATGCACTTGCCGCTCCCTGAGGTGAAACCGGAGCGCTGGGCAGATTATGCAGAGTTTGGAGCACTACCTGCATGGTGGCGTTCAACTGGGCAAGCTGCTGCTGGTGCTGGTCGAGGCACTGGGAAACTCCTGCTGCATCCATTTTCATGTGGTGTGTGATTCTGCGACGAGTACTGATATACGAAGAGGCAGGACGCAGACGCAGGAATTAACAAGGTCAAGGTTTACTTAATAATGAGAAAGAGCATACCAAAGAGAGAGTAAACGACACAACGCTAAACAATCACACATAACACAGTACTGAACAGTCCAGGGCTAAATAGGGGTGGTGATGAGATGATGAGGTGCAGGTGCGCTGGAGGTGATTAGGGTGCGTTGGGTTTCCATTCCGGTGTTGCTGAGGTGGTGCGTTCAGACCGGTGGCTCAGTAGACCGGCGAATCGGAGCAACGGGAGGAGACGTGACAGAATCCTGACTAGAACCCAAACATGTGATCATATTACTCCAGTGCTGTTAAGGCTAGGGCTGATTTCAAGGTTTTACTGCTAACCTACAAAGTATTACATGGGCTTGCTCCTACCTATCTCTCCGATTTGGTCCTGCCGTACATACCTACACGTACGCTACGGTCACAAGATGCAGACCTCCTTATTGTCCCTAGAATTTCTAAGCAAACAACTGGAGGTAGGGCTTTCTCCTATAGAGCTCAATTGTTATGGAATGGTCTGCCTATCCATGTGAGAGACGCAGACTTGGTCTCAACCTTTAAGTCATTACTGAAGACTCATCTCTTCAGTAGGTCCCATGACTGAGTGTAGTCTGGCCCAGGGGTGTGAAGGTGAACGACAAGGCACTGGAGTGACGAACCGCCCTTGCTGTCTCTGCCTGGCCGGCTCCCCTCTTTTCATGCCTATTACAGGGGCTGAGTCACTGGCTTACTAGTGCTCTTCCATGCCGTCCCTAGGAGGGGTGCGTCACTTGAGTAGGTTGAGTCACAGAAGTGATCTTCCAGTCCGGTTTTGCGCCCCCTCGGGCTTGTGCGGTGGAGGAGATCTTTGTGGGCTATACTCAGCCTTTTCTCAGGGTAGTAAGTTGGTGGTCTGTTGATATCCCTCTAGTGGTGTGGGGGCTGTGCTTTGGAAAAGTAGGTGGGGTTATATCCTGCCTGGTTGGCCCTGTCCAGGGGTATCGTCGGACGGGGCCACAGTGTCCCCCAACCCACCCCTGTCGCAGTCTCCAGTATCTATGCTGCAATATCAATCAATACATTTATTTATGAAGCCCTTTTTACATCAGCAGATCTCACAAAGTTCAAGCTGACGCCAATGTCCCTGTTCCCAATAGTCTATGTGCCATTGGGCTAAGGTCAGTCTGTTATATCTGGTGTAATTCTCCTGTCTTATCTGTTGTCCTTTGTGAATTTAAGTATGCTCCCTCTAATTCTCTCTCTATCCCTCTCTCCCTCCCCTCCCGGAGGACCTGAGCCCTAGGATCATGCCTCAGGACTACCTGGCCTGATGACTACTGGCTGTCCCCAGTCCACCTGGTCGTGCTGCTGCTCCTGTTTCAACTGTTCTGCCTGCGGCTAGGGAACCCTGACCTGTTCACCGGACGTGCTACCTTGTCCCGGACCTGCTGTTTTCGACTCTCTCTCTCTCTCTCTACCGCACCTGCTGTCTCGACCTCTGAATGCTCGGCTATGAAAAGCCAACTGACATTTACTCCTGAGGGACTGACATGTTGCACCCTCTACAACCACTGATTATTATTTGACCCTGCTGGTCATCTATGAACGTTTGAACATCTTGAAGAACAATCTGGCCTTAAATGGCCATGTACTCTTATAATCTCCACCCGGCACAGCCAGATGAGGACTGGCCACCCCTCAGAGCCTGGTTCCTGTCTAGGTTTCTTCCTAGGTTCATGCCTTTTTAGGGAGTTTGCTTCATCTGTGAATCTGTTGGGTCAGTATGCGAATACCATCATCCCAGACACATCCCAGGGTGTCTGGGATGATGGTGTTGATGTGTGTCATGACCAGCCTTTCAAAGCACTTCATAATTACAGCTGTGAGTGCTACGGTACGATAGTCATTTAGGCAGGTTACCTTGGCGTTCTTGGGAACAGGGACAATGGTGTCAGTTTGAAACATGTTGGGATTACAGACTGGGACGTGCTTTGAACTTGTTGTGAAACTCAGATTGGCTAATGGCAAACAAGCTGCATCAACCATGAACTAAAAGTACAGCTTTCATGCTTGTAAACAAATTATAGTGTTCAAAAAACATATTAATAGATAATGTTGTGTTGTTGCATTTATCTGCCAGAAATTCTGGTATCGAGGTAATTTCCTTAGTAGGTGACGTCAGAGTTCAGCATGTGGGAGAAGTCAGAGCTCAGGGATGATAGACGTTAGTAATTACAAGTTAGAGGGTCGTTCAACTGGATTTTTCACAGTCGTATGTGGTAAATACCACCTTCCCACTTGGTTATGAATGCAGCATTAGGCTCTAGAAAAGCTTCTTTGTCAGTCTGTCAGTCTGGCATTTCTGTGAAAAGTTCAAATTATTTTTTTTTGAATGTCCACAGCTTGCCTTCAGTTGTGATTCATATGTTGATCTTCCCTCAAGACATTTGTAAGTTATTGCTTACAAGAAAGTAGCTAATGCTGTATACTCTTCTGTGAACCTGTCCCCTCTGCCTGTCCTACATCTGGCTGCTGCTTATGTCATGATTCAATTGGAAACTGGTAAATAATGATTGAATTGCCCTCCTCTTGCTCTCACAGGTTACAATGTGACAATTGTCTGCACTCTGATACATGTTGACTCATTATTTCTCTAGACTTTCACACCCAACATCATTCCAATGATCAAACTAAAAGTCACACGCTTTTTCCTGTTGATTTGATCCTAATTATGTTCACATTCCTGACATTCCTCAGGGGTTGATCGCTCATCCCCTTTGCTCTCTGATCCCAGAGTGGATCGACCTTTTGTCCCAAATCTGTGTGTGTGTGTCTGAGAGAGAGAGAGAGAGAGAGAGAGAGAGAGAGAGAGAGAGAGATAGTTGACAGTTAGGGCCAGCAATGTGTGACCTGCATCCAAAATTCTGGGCCCTACCAATTGCTGAATTTCATTTGCCGAAAATGAACCATTGTAGCCTTCATTTCTGTGTAAATGGTAATACTGTAACTGTACGAAACCAGGTTAGAAACAGTTGAATTCCTCTTCAGTTGAATTCCTCTTCAGTTGAATGTGTCTTCAGAAACATTATTTTACCAAATTGAGAAAAGGGGTTTTCTCTCGTCATAAACGCACAGCTAGTTTCAATCTGGTTTGTGTGGGCTTTGTCTAAGCCAGTGTCTATGGTGGCATCTTTGCTGTGCTGTGCTGTGCAGTGTGGTCAGTCAGGTGCTATGTGGGAAGGATTTAGTGAGCCATTAGCAATGTTGTTAGCACATGAGGGGTCACATGTAGTGCTGCTTGAACAATCTCACCACCAACGTAAGGCAACTGGAATGGTAAGATCATACGTCTCTGTCAGCTACATACAGATTTCCCATTGAATGCACCTCGTGTAAAAAAGGACATGTGGCTTCTCTTGTAATCACCCCTTTTCCCTGTAAAATGAGATAACTTCCAAGTATCAAGGATTTAAGGCTTCAGAGGCCTCCACATACCACTACCTGTGTCCATACATTAACTGAAGAATGTGTTGATTTTTTTAACCTGATTTGAGTATATACTGAGTTGCATGCATGTTATTTTGTTTTATGGTGTTTTAGTACATTCAGTATTTTGCTTTATTGTATTGGAAGAATTGTACTCATTCAACCTTTAAAACTTTGAGCATACTGTAACAAAACAAGGGATTAGCACGAGGTTCCAAGATAGGATTTGATCCCAGTACCCTAGGGTCCAGAGCCAGACACGTTACCACTGCTCCTAGAAAGCTAACTCCCTTGGGATAATCGTGCTTATCAGTCCCAGGGTCATTACAATATTATGTTTTCCCACACAAACCATCACACTGGTCAAGGTTATGGTATTTTCATTGTGACCGGTGTTCTCAACCATTAAGACCTTTGTATTTCTACCCCATTAGCTCAATAATGTCTTCGGCTTTTTTTAACTGAAACGCTCTGGAATGCAGAAGAAGGACAATGAGCTTCCACAGTATTATAGAGCAAGCACGAGTGTTTCCCAGCGTGTGTGGATTGCTACGAACGTAGATACTTTGACATCGTATGAGGCTTAGGGCACTGAAAGGACGATATGGGGAAAGAGAGGAGTAAAAGGATGCTATTGATTTGTCATCCCCACACACTCATCTTGTGACCCCCATGCACACAGAGCTGTAAGGTCGGACGTCAAGGCAGGCATGCATGACTACAGCTGAGACAATTCTTCCAGGCCTTCCCATAACGAACAGACATTACATACAGTACAGTAAATTACATTTGTTTAAAATCTCTGTCAGAATATGATAGATGGTGCTCATATTTTAAACGCGATATTGATGAGAAAAGTTATTAAATGAAGTGAAGTTAGTTTAAGTGACATTAGAGCATATGGTATAATGGTGGAGTCATGGAATCTGGCTGAAAATAGTCTTTCCAACATATCTGGGGAAAATCGTCAAAGGAACAAGTGTCAACTTATGCATAGAAATTGCAAGATTACAACAAACACATTAATGTAAAAAGTAAGAGTTTAAACTTTAAAGGGTCAAATAAGAGTACAAAGGAGATAGAAAAGTCTGTTGTTCCTTCATGATCCTTTTTTCTTCTCTTCTCCTGGTTACATGGCCAGTGGCCCAGCTTTTGACAGTTCCTATTAGGTATATGGAACATCAATCCACCTCCAACAATTGTATTATGCTTGAAAATAACTAACTATGACTTCATATCAAGGACACTACAGAATGAGTATATCCCAATAATCTCTCCTTCTTCCTGAATTGTACACTCATTCACTATTCCCAGAAATGTAAAAGCATTGGATTGGTGTAGGAATGGGCTAGATAGTTTCCATATACATGTTATTTCCTTTCAAATTCATGAAGGAAAGTGAACAAGTGTACACTTCGGGAGAAAGGAGAGATTATTGGGACACATCAATTGATTCAATTATCAACTTCCTAAAGAGTGACCTTTGACCTTTGCAAACTCTATATGCTAGGACAACATCAGCAAAAAATCAGCCAGCCTGCTCAGTGCTCACAGGCTATAGAAAAAAACGATGCTCCAGCACTCAGGTAACGTGTGCAATAGGTCCCTCAGTTGCTGTGTATCCTCAGGCAACACTCCAACACACTCATCATGCTTACTTTGTGAGCTAATGCTTTTTTTCACACAACCACTAGGCCGCTAATTCCATAAGGTTCCCACTGATGAAAATGGGAATCGTAACATTCTGTACTTGATGGAGAAAATAATATGTCCAAAATCGGATAGTTTTGTCACGTCTACTCCTGCTCCTCCCCTCCGGCGTGCGACGTCGCCAGAATACTAACCACCGGTCCTGGGATTCATCATTACGCACACCTGGCATCCATCATTACGCGCACCTGCAGATCATTATGATTCACACCTGGACTCCATTACATTCCTCATTACCTCCCCTTTATCTGTCCCTCCCTTACGTTTAGTCCTCAGTCGGTATTGTTCCTGTGTTTATGCTATATCGCCACTGTTACGCTGTCTCGTTTCATGTTTGTTGTTTTAATAAACGTTTCACCTGCTTCTCGACTCACAGCGTCATTGTTACAAATGTCTTCAGTTCTTCAAAATAAATTAAACTGTTTTATGCCTCGTCTTTATCCAGTGTGAAGATGGCATTACTGATGATTCTTTGAAATACATTCTGGCATGTGGAAATATGTTTTCTGGATGGATGGTATCACTAAGTTAAGGTTAATCCTTTTAGCTACTGTAATTATCCAATTAAACATTTGAAAACATAATAGCATTGCTAACAAAGTGTGTGTCTGTCTATTCACACAGTTGATTAGAGTGGGAGGGGCTGGTTTGTAGACTCCCTATGATGTCAGAGATGAGAGGCAAGTTTATGGTAATTAAGGGTCCAAGACTCTTTTATAGGGAATCGAAAATCCTACCACAAGTCTCGCCGGGTGGTGTGTTGTTGGGTGTTTAAGACTAGGACGAGGGTTAGGAACTGGGCAGAGAAGGACACACAACCACACACAATGAATACTCTACTGACAGTACTGGTGTTGGCTCTCTTGTCAGCAGCTTTAGGAGCAAGTGAGTATATGGATTACTTTCTGCATGACTATTTGATAAAACACAGGTTGCTCCATCCCTTCTTTCTTGAGTTATGTGCAGTATTGGAGGGGAGATGGGGCTGAGGTGGGATGGATTGAAATAATGGAAGAGATTATCACTGAGCATTACTAAGTACTCACTGAGTAATTAGCAATAATTTAGAATGTCCACAGCTTGCCAGCTGCATGTGCAATGACATTTGTGCAAACAATCCCTTTTAGTAGTGAAACGTTTGTGTTCTTCTATGTTTCCCCAAATATAAACTAATTGCATTTTTTGTATTCCATAAACTCGTACATTTGACTAATCAATACATATGATATAACTTGTCTGAAGATCTGTCAATCATGTTATTAGTAAGAAACAATAATTAATTGTATGGTTGTTTACACACTAATGGAACTTGGACAAGCTCAACAAACGTAATTACTCAGTAATAGTGAATAACAGTGGTCTCTCTCATATCGTTCAGTTATATAATATCTTCAACTTAGTTTTAAGGGTTTCCTTTATTCTCAGTGTCTGTGTAGAAACCTGAGCTCTACAGCCTGAACTTTAGAATATTGTAGGATTAATAATAATCTATGCATTACTCCTCTATACACTGCATATATACTCTACAAATATCTGTATATAGTAAAGCGTTCCAATACCCAGTACAATCTTCTAAGTAACACCATCATTTGTGCAGGTCAGTTCAAATTTAAAGTGTGAAGAATTTCATAAAAAAGATCCTGAGTAAATGCACACTAAGTTTTGACATGAGCTCATATTTAACAAACAATTTGGTAATACATTTGGTGATTAATAATCATTAATCTCACCCCAGCAAGAGTTCAGCCACTGTGTAATATACAGTAAAATAGCATGTCTAATAACTGCTGACATAGTGTGCCACAGATTACATGCTCGTAGTCAAGGATAGCGCAATCACATGCCAATTTGTCTGCACTCCAAGCCCTAAAACTCTAATCTGTATCCTGGAGTTTCTATAGTAAGGTGAATACTTTATTTTAGCTCTCAACAATAGAATAGATTAACTATATTTTCCCAGAGGGAACATCAGTACTAATGTTGGTCTTTCACTATCAATCATGCAATTCAAAGTTTATTATTATTTATTTAAGTTTATCTAGCAATGTGTTGCATCTGATGGATATCCAAACCAAACCACAAACTGTAATTAACTTGGTTAACTTGATTGGAGATATTGGTGTTTTCAGTGGCGATCAGTTTGAAGTGTGACAATCTGATGAATGACTGCACACGATAATGATATTATGGCTTGTCATTAGGAATTAGATCTTTTGGAGGATGCATTCCTGAGGTTGTTAAAGCTTAGTGTGACTGTACAGTATCATATGGGGAATACAAGGGGCTCACAATAACAGAAGATAATGTAGGTGTTGAGGTTCCTAAATCCTGAACAAACTCTAGCACACACACTCGAGCGTGTGCACACACACACGCACGCACACACACACATACACACACAGGAACAACAGTAGGAGAGTAAGGCCGCCCTGATGTCTGAGCTCCACAGAGGCTCCCCTCATTCCAGCAGTTCGGATTACGGCTGCCTGCGCTCAGCTGACAGTCACATGAAAGGGATTGAGGGGGATTGCAGGGACCGTGTGACTCACACCACCTGGAACCCCCACCTCGCTCCCTCCTCCCCCCTTCCACAACCATCGAAGAAATACCTGAACTACCCACCACCGCTATCTACAGCCTCAAACAATTATTTTTGTCCTTCTTTCAGTAAAATGTTGGTAAATGTCTATGCCCACACCCCATCTTACGCCCATATCCCAAACTGTAGCAATATGATAACTTTTCCTCTACCAAGGGTAGGCAACAGGGCAGAGAACACTCCCTCGTATAATCATGTGGTCATAAAATGGAATAGCTATGGCTGTATTTCAGTAAGGAAGGGTCAGATACTGTAGGTTTGGAGATAAATAGATTTTAGAACAGTAGAAATTGTCAACATTTTCAATAAGCATTTGAGTCGGTGTTATAAAAATTCCAGGTCTGAGTAGTAGATCTTCGCATGACATTCACCAAAAATACACTATAAAAATAAAGGCTAATTAATTAGCCTGGTAGGTAATGAGTTCTGGGTACCAGGATCCTGATCCTGACCAATGTCTAGACAACCGCAAAGTCCTAATAAAATAGCATTTTCAACCTCAGGTTTACTAGTGCAGTGGTCGACTGGTCTTACAAACAGATTTCCCATTAGCGTTTTTGCTGATACGTAATGGCAATACCTCACCATACATTTTAGTCATTTTTAGCAGACGCTCTTATCCAGAGCGACTTACAGTTAGTGAGTGCATACATTTTTCATACTGGCCCCCCGTGGGAATCAAACCTATAACCCTGGCGTTGCAAGCGCCATGCTCTACCAACTGAGCTACACGAGGCTGGACATGCTACATACCCACTGGACATGTTACATAACTGATAAAACCTCAATAATATGATTAATATGAATGGATAACATGTCATGTAGTAGGAGAAGTTCACTATGTCAAAGTGTGATCAACAAAAACATTGTCTTTCAATTAGGAAAACGAGAGGAAAATTACCCTAAAACTTAAACACTTGTATTTCTTTCAGAGCCTAAAACACGTTTTACACGCTACCACTCATGGAACTCACGGATATATCCAGTGTGGAAAGATGGGGACTCCCGATACAGAGACTGTTGGACTGGTGGGTTTTCACTTTATTGCACTTTTTCTATAGATCAATCACTTAATATAGAAACATTAACCACTTTCTATTGATGTATTTATCACTTTCTGTCACCAGGTGGAGAAGTTACATTCGATGTGAAAAATGATGCACCCACCCTGACTGGCGCAAAGGCAACCTTTAACATCGACCTTCGCTTCCCATCAAACCAGACAGTGCTTCCTGATGGACAGGTGGTCTGGGCACGTAACTGCACTGTCAATGGTGAGCTCTTCTTTCAAATTCAACCACTATTTACATTTACATTTACGTCATTTAGCAGACGCTCTTATCCAGAGCGACTTACAGTTAGTGAGTACATTACATTTTATTTTATTCTTACTGGCCCCCCGTGGGAATCGAACCCACAACCCTGGCGTTGCAAACGCCATGCTCTACCAACTGAGCTACATCCCTGCCGGCCATTCCCTCCCCTACCCTGGACGACGCTGGGCCAATTGTGCACCGCCCCATGGGTCTCCCGGTCGCGGCCGGATACGACAGAGCCTGGATTCGAACCAGGATCTCTAGTGGCACAGCTAGCACTGCGATGCAGTGCCTTAGACCACTGCGCCACTCGGGAGACCACTATACCATACCCCACTAACCCCACAGTTTTTTAGTTGGTCCTATATGCCTACAGTCTTTTTCTAGTGTCCCTAACCTTTTATGTTGAACTCTGTGTGGTCTTCCTCTTCTACAGGAACACAGTATCGTCAGGGCCAGGCTGTGTATCCCGACCAGGTCTCTGGTCCTTCAGGAGAGTACAGCGGAGTCTTCCCTGATGGTACCCCCTTCACTGGGACCGCAGACAGGAAACCACACTACGTGTTTGTGTGGAAGACATGGGGTAAGGACAGCACTTTCATTTACAGACATTCATGTGAGAAAATGCTAACACAATCACCCAATGCTTTCTGGTATTTACAAAGCTGTGCCCAGTATGCACTATGAAATAATTCCTTTCATAAGAGGGTTGAAAGGACTAATGAAGCAGCTAATGTTCTTGGGAGTTTTGTCAACACAAGATTTGATCATCAGGCCGTTCAGTTTTATAACCGCTGCTGTGTTTTCTAACTACTGCTGCTTTTGTATCCCAGGACGTTACTGGCAGGTGGCGGGCGGGCCCTCCTCCTCTCTCACCATCAGTACGGACAATGTGCCCCTGGGCTCTTACAACATGGAGGTAGTCATCTACCACTGCCGTGGCAAGAACAAGTTCATCCCTTTGGGCTATGCCTCCACAACCTTCTCCATCACAGGTGGGCAGCTGGAACCAGGGTTTAAGTGCACAAAATCTTATTTAAAACAGAAATTCAATCAACCCTGATTTGACTTCAATTGATCATTTGAAATAATTAGCATTGACTCTCACAATCTTTCACAGCATTGATGTCACGATGTGACATCTTTTGCCTTTGCTTTGTGCCTCCCCAGACCAGATCCCCTTCGCAGTGTCGCTGACCCAAATTAACGATGTGAACCAGGCTGACCAGAACTTCATCCAGAACCGGGCCATTGCCTTCAGCATCAGCCTCCACGACCCCAGCCAGTACCTCAGCGCCTCAGATGTCACCTTTAACTGGGACTTTGGTGACAACAGTGGCACCCTCATCTCCAGGGAGCGCCAGGTCACACACACATACCTCACCACTGGCACCTACAGGCCTCAGGTGGTCCTGATGGCAAGCATCCCCAACGGCTGTGACACACCTGCAGACCCTACCGCTGCCAGCCCCACTGGTGAGATACATCAATTTTCTATTTGACAACGTATCCATTTATTGGATCCAATCTTTCCTTTACAAAAGTCAATGCATGTTCAGTGCATATAACAGTCGTAACTGTTGCCGTTCTTCTTGTGTTTACAACCAGTGATGCCTATGGATCCCTCCGGCGCTCCTGCCGTGGTTGTGGTGGACTCTACCCCAAGGGCAGCTCCAGCTGACATCGCCCTGGATGTGCCTGCCTCTGATGTTGCCCCTGCTGAGGCTGCAGACACAGCTGCAGCAGACGCAGCTGCAGCCGACGCCGATGCCGCAGACACAGATGCAGCCACAGCCGAAGACCCAGCCGCAGCCGAAACTGCAGTCGAAGCCGGTGCCACAGCCGAAGACGCTGCCGCAGACGCTGCCACAGCTGAAGCCGCAGCCGAACCCACAGCTGACGACGCAGCCGCAACCGCAGAGGGAGTCGAGGTGGTCGCCTCAGCAGCAGAGGATCCAGCCGTCATCCCGGCAACAGAGGACCCTGCCGCTGTCCCTGCAGTAGAAGCCGATGCCACAGCAGAAGACACGGCTGCTGCAGCCGTTGAGGACCCTGCCGCTGTCCCGGCTGTGGAGGGAGCCACAGCTGCCCCCGTCGCCCCAGCAACTGAAGAGGCAGCTGCTGCTGATGCAGCTGCTGATGCTGATGCAGCTGCTGCTGATGCAGCTGCTGATGCTGATGCAGCTGCTGCTGCCGAAACCGCAGTGGTAGAGGCTACGGCTGCAGATGTGCCCGCCATCGCCGCTGCTGCTTCAGTTGCTCCAGTTGCAGAGGGAGAGGAGGCCACAGTGGACCTGGCGGCCACAATCCTACCAGAGGTCCCAGCTATAGCCACCGTTGCACCCGTGGCGGAGGAGGCCATAGTTGCTGATGCTGAGGTGGTGGCTGAGGTTGCGGCTGCAACAGAGGTGGCCCAGGCCGAGACGGTGGCCCCTGCTGCTAACGTCATTGTTCCTGCCGCCACGGCGGCTGCAGCTGTGGTGGAGGTAGTGCCAGCTGAGCTAGAGGCAGAGGTCGTAGAGACAGTGATTGAGGTTGCAGCTGATGCCACTGCAGGTGATTACTTACTTAGTTACTTAGTCATTCTGTATATAAACAAAAACATTATTTGAGCCATTTCAAAATAAAATATAACTTACAGTATCTTTGTTTGTCTTCAGCGCCAGCAGCAGTGACTGCTCCAGTGGAGAATGAGGTAGTAGCAGAGGCTGAGATAGAGGCAGACACAGAGACACAGGTGGCTCTTGTTGTGGCTAAAAGACAGGCTCCTGAACTTACAGCGGCTGACGACTGTATGATATATCGCTACGGCTCCTTCTCGACCGCTGTGGACGTCGTCCGTAAGTCCACATATGTCCAGATACTGAAGATGTAGAGTATTTTCAATACAGTCACAGCTGAGATGTAAAATGCAGGTGATGGTTGCTGATAATGATCTCTCAATCTATTTAAATTCCCAGAGGGTATTGAGAGTGTGGAGATCACCCAGGTGGCCAACGTAGTGTCTCAGGCCACTGAGGTGGTGCAGAATGCTGTGGACCTGACAATCACCTGCCAGGGGAGGTGAGTAGCCAACTAGCAGTGGAAACAGGTCCCAAGGAACCATGCACATTCCTATTGAAATTAGCATTTTGAACATTGCCATCACCTGCACTTTATATCTACATCCTTCTCTTTACATAGCCTGCCCAATGAAGTGTGCACCATCATCTCGGATGCAGACTGCATCACGCCTGTGGAGACCATCTGTAACAACGTGACACCCTCCCCAGATTGTCAGATGATCCTTCGCCAGTTCTTCAATGACTCTGGAGTGTTCTGCATCAATGTGTCCCTGACCAATGATGTTAGTCTGGCTATGGCCAGTGCTAAAGTCCGTGTGACTGTGGGTGAGTGAAATTAACGAACCATGTGTGCGCCTGTACATAAAACTTTATGAACTGTAAAAACATTTTCATTTTACATTTCACTGATCGTGGAGTGTACCGTACCTTCCTCATACTGTGTGTTGTGGTTGCAGGCTCCAACTCCTCCACAGCAGGCACTGTGGCCGCGGTTCTGGGTGTCATGGTCCTTGTCTGTGTTGTTGGTGCCATTGCTTTGACCTACAAGTGAGTGAAAGACTGTTCTAACCACCGTAAAAGTCAATAAAGTCACACACTTCCTGGTTTCTCCAAATGTATAATTGATTTATGATCCACAAAAACTATTTGACACATTGTGGTCCATTGAAGATAATTCCACATTACAGTGGGGAAAAAAAGTATTTAGTCAGCCACCAATTGTGCAAGTTCTCCCACTTAAAAAGATGAGAGAGGCCTGTCATTTTCATCATAGGTACACGTCAACTATGACAGACAAATTGAGGGAAAAAAATCCAGAAAATCACATTGTAGGATTTTTAATGAATTTATTTGCAAATTATGGTGGAAAATAAGTATTTGGTCACCTACAAACAAGCAAGATTTCTGGCTCTCACAGACCTGTAACTTCTTCTTTAAAAGGCTCCTCTGTCCTCCACTCGTTACCTGTATTAATGGCACCTGTTTGAACTTGTTATCAGTATAAAAGACACCAGTCCACAACCTCAAACAGTCACACTCCAAACTCCACTATGGCCAAGACCAAAGAGCTGTCAAAGGACACCAGAAACAAAATTGTAGACCTGCACCAGGCTGGGAAGACTGAATCTGCAATAGGTAAGCAGCTTGGTTTGAAGAAATCAACTGTGGGAGCAATTATTAGGAAATGGAAGACATACAAGACCACGGATAATCTCCCTCGATCTGGGGCTCCACGCAAGATCTCACCCCGTGGGGTCAAAATGATCACAAGAACGGTGAGCAAAAATCCCAGAACCACACGGGGGGACCTAGTGAATGACCTGCAGAGAGCTGGGACCAAAGTAACAAAGCCTACCATCAGTAACACACTACGCCGCCAGGGACTCAAATCCTGCAGTGACAGACGTGTCCCCCTGCTTAAGCCAGTACATGTCCAGGCCCGTCTGAAGTTTGCTAGAGTGCATTTGGATGATCCAGAAGAGGATTGGGAGAATGTCATATGGTCAGATGAAACCAAAATAGAACTTTTTGGTAAAAACTCAACTGGTCGTGTTTGGTGGACAAAGAATGCTGAGTTGCATCCAAAGAACACCATACCTACTGTGAAGCATGGGGGTGGAAACATCATGCTTTGGGGCTGTTTTTCTGCAAAGGGACCAGGACGACTGATCCGTGTAAAGGAAAGAATGAATGGGGCCATGTATCGTGAGATTCTTTCAGCATGACAATGATCCCAAACACACCGCCCGGGCAACGAAGGAGTGGCTTCGTAAGAAGCATTTCAAGGTCCTGGAGTGGCCTAGCCAGTCTCCAGATCTCAACCCCATAGAAAATCTTTGGAGGGAGTTGAAAGTCTGTGTTGCCCAGCGACAGCCCCAAAACATCACTGCTCTAGAGGAGATCTGCATGGAGGAATGGGCCAAAATACCAGCAACAGTGTGTGAAAACCTTGTGAAGACTTACAGAAAACGTTTGACCTGTGTCATTGCCAACAAAGGGTATATAACAAAGTATTGAGAAACTTTTGTTATTGACCAAATACTTATTTTCCACCATAATTTGCAAATAAATTCATAAAAAATCCTACAATGTGATTTTCTGGAATTCTTTTTCTCATTTTGTCTGTCATAGTTGACGTGTACCTATGATGAAAATTACAGGCCTCTCTCATCTTTTTAAGTGGGAGAACTTGCACAATTGGTGGCTGACTAAATACTTTTTTTCCCCACTGTATATCCCATGCCATTTCTATCTAAATAAATGATAAATGAAATATTATGTGCAGTTTTATACAATATAATGCACATCTTATTTTTTATTTTTTTTTACTGTATTATTAATGCCAGCTAACTTGTGTTTTTCAACCAGGCGGTTTAACCAATACCGTCCACTGAGGGAGGACTCAACAGGCGGAAGCATGGGAAGCTCTGGAAACACGTCTGTGCCGATGCTGCTGTGGAACCTTCTGAGCCGACAGTCAACAGGAGAAAGAAGCCCACTGCTTCAGGGAAGGGTGGTGTGAACACTCATAACCATCTGCACTGATAAAGCACACACTCATGCATGCATGTTAACACGTAAATATCACTTAGACACACGCATCCACTCAGCAACTGTGAAATACACATATACATGTTAACACATTGCAGACTCAGACACATAGAGCCACCCTAATGCAGAGACAAACTGCAACAAGAACAAGCAGTTGTATTCTGTTTTGTTACACTGAAAGCAACTTTAATAAAAACTATAATGTATTGATAATGTATACATTTTCAACACAGAACCCTAAAAGCCTAAATAAATGTGTTTGTTTCTGCCGTTGCATCACTTGTGACAAAATATTATATTTATTTTGACCCACATACTTTTTTATTTAAGAAAAAAAAGAATGATGAAAGTTTACAAAAATGCAGCAACTTATGTTGTGTTTTTTCTGTTGTTACTCACTCTTCCTTAGAACGTAATCATTACAATGAATGACTGCCTCTTGTAAACTTCCAACACATTAATTTGCTTTGCTAACTGGTATAATTTGAATTGTCAATAAAATCACAGCACTGTGATATAACATATTTAATGTCACCCCAAAAGTAAGCATTAAAATGTAAATTATGTAAGAATCTTCAACTACCGGTATACCTCCAAAGCAAGTTATAGAGTCCAAGCAAGTTATAGAGCTCTAATTGTCACCGCAATCAATACCCAATACTAAAGCTGTCTCTTCTTATTGTAAACCAGTTGATGTCAGAAGTAAGATATTATTTGTTCATGAACACTCATTAAATATAAAGAACAAGCTATTGCTTTTACGTTATCTCTTTCAGATGAAAAATAATATAAAAGGAACCATGGGGAAACTGCAATGATGTGTCGGTTTGATACCAGTAAATAAAAATGAAAGACACAACTCTATTGCATTCAAATGTTCATTTAATTCTTGATTGTTTTGATTCTGTTGACATTTCTCAGAATGCAGCATTAAATATTTTGTAAAGCTGCTAGAAAAGAGCATAACGTTGCTGCAAGTAAAAAATGTTAGCCAAATATATGCATATAAATTGTGTGCGACTCTATATGCATATAAGTTGCCCATGTGTAATTACACAAACAGATAGTTGTAGAACTATGTAACAATATGTACGTACATGGTTATTACACTGCAATAATCAAATTATTTATTCTTGGGAAATACTGTGATAACTCCTGGTGAGTGAAGCTGATGAAGCTCCATGGAATTTTGTAAAAAAAAAAAAAAGGTAAAGTATTTTATTGCATATCAAAGTCAAAGACAGAAAGCTACAGTGTAAAACTGTAAAAAGTAAAACCATTGCAACACCATAACATTCCCTGAACACAACTACAGAACATTTCCTTAACCATTTTCGGTGCCAACGGACAACATGACATTTACATTTTAGTCATTTAGCATCCTCTCTTATCCAGAGCAATTAGGGTTAAGTGCCTTGCTCAAGGGCACATTGACATATTATTTTTTCACCTAGACACTCTTAACCGCTAGGCTACCTGCCGCCCTATCTATGATGTGTGACTGTGCTTGCTAGCAATTTCCAACACTAATAAGGAAAGCTAAGCCATATAAACTTCTAACCAGTGATAAGCATGCTAGTGATTTGACTAGGGTGAATCGATTCACTTCACGTTAATACTCCTCTCCCTCCTCCTCTCCCTCTCCCTCAATGGAGTCGACCCCTACCTCCTCATAATCTTTCTCCAGGGCAGCCATGTCCTCCCTGGCCTCAGAGAACTCTCCCTCCTCCATACCCTCACCTACGTACCAGTGCACAAAGGCACGCTTGGCATACATCAGATCAAACTTGTGGTCAAGTCGGGCCCAGGCCTCTGCAATAGCAGTGGTGTTGCTAAGCATGCACACTGCCCTCTGGACCTTGGCCAGATCTCCACCAGGTACCACAGTTGGGGGCTGGTAGTTGATACCAACCTTGAAACCAGTTGGGCACCAGTCTACAAACTGGATGGAGCGTTTTGTTTTGATGGTGGCAATGGCAGCATTGACATCTTTGGGCACAACGTCGCCACGGTACAGCAAACAGCAGGCCATGTACTTGCCGTGACGTGGGTCACATTTCACCATTTGATTGGCTGGCTCAAAGCAAGCATTTGTGATCTCAGACACTGAGAGCTGCTCATGGTAAGCCTTCTCTGCCGAGATCACTGGGGCATAGGTGGCCAGGGGGAAGTGGATACGGGGGTAGGGCACCAAGTTGGTCTGGAACTCTGTCAGATCAACATTGAGGGCACCATCAAATCGGAGGGAAGCAGTGATGGAGGACACAATCTGGCTAATCAACCTGTTAAGATTGGTGTAGGTGGGACGCTCAATATCAAGGTTCCTTCGGCAGATGTCATAGATGGCCTCATTGTCTACCATGAAAGCACAATCAGAGTGCTCCAGGGTGGTGTGGGTGGTCAGGATGGCATTATAGGGCTCAACAACAGCAGTGGACACCTGGGGAGCTGGGTAGATGGAGAACTCAAGTTTGGACTTCTTTCCGTAGTCAACAGACAAGCGTTCCATCAACAGGGAGGTGAAACCAGAACCAGTGCCACCTCCGAAGCTGTGGAAAACCAGGAAGCCCTGGAGGCCAGTGCACTGGTCAGCCTGGAGAGAGTGGGAGGAGAGAAGATGTTTCTGATCATTATGGTTTGATAAAGATACAGAATGTACAGAGATGTAGAGTGTATGTTAATAAGACATCATATAAATGTAAGTTCTCACCAGTTTGCGGGTCCTGTCCAAAACCAAGTCGATGATTTCTTTACCGATGGTGTAATGCCCACGTGCATAGTTGTTGGCTGCATCCTCCTTCCCAGTGATCAGCTGCTCAGGGTGGAAGAGCTGTCGGTAAGTTCCTGTGCGCACCTCATCTGGAGAAATAAATACTTGTTAGCTTTTCTCAAGACTAAGGAGATAGACCAATGTTAACAGCACGTCATTGTTTCAAGACAAAGTGATCTTACCAATGACAGTGGGCTCCAGATCCACAAACACAGCCCTGGGGACGTGCTTGCCAGCTCCAGTCTCACTGAAGAAAGTATTGAAGGAGTCGTCTCCTCCTCCAATGGTCTTGTCACTGGGCATCTGACCGTCCGGCTGGATCCCATGCTCCAGACAGTAGAGCTCCCAGCAGGCATTGCCAATCTGGACGCCAGCCTGACCCACGTGGATGGAGATACACTCACGCTGGAGAAAGAGAAGAGAGAGCAATTTAATTGGAACCCACTGTACACAATCAAGGTAAATGTCAATAATGTCACCAAAGCATTCTCATGTGCATTTATGAGAGCCAGTGGAAAGAGGGCACACATTCAAAATGGCATCCATTCTCCATAATGTCTAATCCAAATGCAAATTAAGATTCTTGCACTCTTTTCATTTAGTATTTTACTAATTTATTAAATCAAATCAAATTAAATTGTATTGGTCACATACACATATTTAGCAGATGTTATTGCGGGTGTAGCGAAATGCTTGTATGATCCCCATTAGCTGTTGCTAAACCAGCAGCTACTGTTCCTGAAGGGTAAACTGTATTGTGCTAAATCCCCCCCCCCCCTGATTGAGTCTAGGGGGCTGGGATGAAATTCAGTAAGGTTGCATTTTCCCACACTGCAGCACTGCAGCTATTCCACACAATCATCCCCACTGTTCTGACAGCATAAATGTGATTGAGGAAGTGGGAAAAGTGGGAATTGTGCCATGTAGAGGTACAACCCTGAGTCTGAATCACCCCCCCCCCCCCCCCCCCCCTCCCTCGCACTCCTCCCATTCCCCATTCCCCCTTCCCCCTTCTCCTCCCCTCTCCAGCTACACCCTGCTGTTCCCAAGGGATTTGCTTGTATATGTCCGTTGCTAAGCAACTGGGCACTAGCAGGAAACCGTTTGAGGTTTTGCACAGGAGGGGGTGGTTTGTGCACTTTCCATAAAAAAATTACGATTTAGATTTGTCTATAATGTGCATACACCCAGTGACACTCAACAGCTATGGCGCTCTATAATATTTATAGGTAATTGTACAGAATTACCTGCAGGTATTTTAAGCAACCCTAAGGCTATTTGATTTTGCTCTCTAGGGCAAATCACTGACATCTCATGTTGCAAAATGGAAGACACTATAGATTCTACAGTGCATAGATTTAACAGTAATGCCATTATAGAAATAGTAGCCTTTATGTGCAGCGAGTACACTTGAACCGGCGACTGTTATATCAAATGTGCTTCTCTCTGGTTGGAAAGCAGCTGCCTGGAGGGCTAATCTAAACATGAACATGGAAAGACCAGGGTGCAGCTGGCTACAATGGTCTGTACACAAATCCATCTGCAAAAGACCACCTCAGAGAAAGGTCTTAACTCTTAGCCCTCCCCCTGTCAGGTGTCATTCTGGAGACCATATGCACCAGCAGAGATTAAGGATGAAGTAGCTCCCCACAGGCACCCATTGATTAACTAATACGGTTCACTTAAGTCTTTTATTTTCCTATATAGGGTACTTTCCTCCGAAAATAAAGAGTTAGATCATTTTAAATGACCATATGAACTTCAATATTGATTAAACTGTTCCACAGTAACTGTAATGGGTTGGTAACGTTGGTTTGTTACTAGAACTGTTCGGTACATTTTATCAATGTGATCCCCTTTCTGCCTATTTCATTCACCTTGCCTTGTATCACTTTAAGGCTAATGTATGCGCACCATTTAGAATTTGATGGAGAGACCAACAGAATGCATAAACGTCCACGGGTGCCTTCTAGGCTAAATAAAATTAATGCATCAAATTTAGATAGAGTAGTTTATAGGGTACCGCATATTATAGACTATAGCCTACCATTGATACTAGATATTAAACAGCCAAAATGGGTCAAAATACTAACTATCAGAATAAATCTCTTCTCAACGTAATAGCCTACATTTCAAGGTGGGCGCGCCTCACACCACCATGAAAACGCGGAGTCCATCAAGGCAGAAGAGGTTGCGATTATGAGATCTTTGAATGTTCTTCTATCTCAGGTTCGTTAAACGCATTTGTTTGTTGATATTCGTTAGTCAAACTTGAACTTGATAGTATTTTATGATAGCTAATTATATTCAAATGACAATTAAGGCTAAGATAATAAGTCTGTATCGTCCTCCGTCCGTAGCCCGCCAAAGGTAACGGGCATCAATTCACCTCAATCACCTGAGCAAAGCATAATGTGACGAGTTCTTCAATTGAATCGACATGAGCACCTTCACTATATGATTTCGTAATAAACATACAATTGAAAATAAGGTCCTATAGGCAATATGGTGTTTCCTCGACAGTTTGAAGCATATCCTATCATATTATGGTGGTCAAATAAATCAGTGACCACTTATTTCAGCCACAATATGAAATTCCAGCCACAATATGAATGTAGCCATATACTATCGACCTACATATTATACAACCAAATGTTAGGCTATGTAACTACATTGATGGAATGGATGAGTAGCTAGCACCACCATGAGTAAAATGAGAGATGAACACACAACATAAAATAAATCAATAGACTACTTTCTAAATGTAAATTGTACTCACCATTTTTACTGATGGAGATTAGTTTTAGAGAAATATGTAAAAAAATAAAGTTTCAATAATTTTCTCTTCGGATGAGAGAGAAGTTACTTTATCCGACAGCTAAGAGTCGATGTAGTAACTGATCTTAAACACCGTGGCGCGCTAGTATTTGTAGTATCGCAAGGGGGCTGAGCCAGCAACATTAATACATTAATAAATTAAGAAGAGGAGAGGATCACGACAGCGTGGCTAGGCGTGAGGCCTATGGTGGGAGAGATGCAAGCAACAGGCATCCTTGTGCATTGGTCCTGTTCGTTGTTTTCATAAGATTTTGCTGCAACATTTATTGCAGTGAAA